AGCCCAGAAAATTGAAAATATATGTCTACACAAAAACATGTACATGAATGTTAATAGCAGTTTTATTCACAATACCCCAAAAGTGGAAACCACCTGATCAATGGATCAACTGATCAACTGATCAATGGATAAGTAAATGTATATCATTCAGCCATAAATATAATTCATTCTATAACATGGATGAACCTTGAAAACATGTTAAGTGAAAGAAGCCAGGCACAGAAGGCTATATGTTGTTTGATTCCACTTACATAAAATGTTTCCAATAGGCAAATCCATATGAACAGAAAGTAGATTAGTGGTTGCTAGAGAGTGGGGAGAAGATGGAATTGGCGGTGACTGCTAATGGGTGCAGGATTTGTTTTGGAGGTGATGGAAATGTTCTGGACTAGGTGATGGTTGTACAATATTATGAACATACCGAAAACACTGAACTGTATTATTTTTAACTGGTGAATTTTATATCAATAAAAATGTATAAAATAAAAATAAACCCTAAAAGAAAGCAATGGTATTGATAAGGTTTAATAACACAAACAAATGTAGAGGAGTGCGTTATTTGTGGAGTGAACCTTGATCAATGGGGAACAAGAGACAGGAAGCAACCAGGCAGATAAATTCTCCCTCCTTTCTCCTTCCATGGACTATACTAAGGTGCAGGTCTTCCTTGCAGTCCTGTCTCTTTGTGGCTTGGGAAGTGTGAGCAGCATAGTAACCTAGGATTAGGATCACATTGTTTTATGTGTCTAGCTTCATGTTCTCCTGGCCCACCTCTCTCTCCCTCCCACCTTCCTCCCTTCATTTTACCCTCAGTTTCCTGGGCTTGTTGCTCCCAAATAAAGTCTTAGCACCTTTACTCCCTGCCCTAGATTCCTCTATGAGGAGCCCCTGGACAAAGACACTAAGGGAAGGGCATGGTAGAAGAGGGAAGGAGAGGACAGGCTGTCAAATGCCATTCTATTATTGTAGGAGAGACAGGGACATTTTTGAAGTTCTAGTCATTGACTGCAGGTGAAAAGCTGAATTTCCTTTGTAGATAAAAAGTGAAATTATTCTGTCAAACTAATTTTTTGAGGAACACTATTTTTTAAACAACTCTTTTCCTCTTTATAAAAACAAGACATACTCATCGAAATGTTCTAAGCATGCAAATGGAACCAAAAAAAATGACATTAAATATATGCAAATTGAGCAAAAGGAACATTATCCGAAATCCTACGCCATTTAGTGTCTATTCTTTCAGTCTCTTTTCTAATCACACATAAGCCTCAAAATATATTTTTTTCCCCAAAGAAAGAATAATTTCCTGAATAAAATGTGTTGTGATAACAGCGTCTTAATTACTTTAAGAATTTGGAAATTCTTCATTAAACACATAATATTCATGGTTTAAAAAAAGTAGTTTAATCCCCCAAATTTGAAAACTTGTGCTCAACAAGCCAGGCCTGAAGAATTAAGCTTGCCGTTTCCTGATCTCTTTTATCGAATGAAATGATTGCTTTAATTTAATCCGTGATCCCCATGAGTACTATGTGAGTGTGCACACGCTGCACACAAGGAGACAGGAGCTTTGGAAGGGATGCAAGGTGATGTACTCCTGACCTGGGCTCTCAGCATCTTTTATACAAGTAAAATCCAACAAAAGCAGATATGTAAGGATCATGGGGCTGGAACAAAGGCCCAGTAGGGTAGCTGAGGTGAGGTACAGGGAGAGTGTGGAAGGGCAGCACCCACCTGTTTGCTTCACTGAGAGGGATGGCAGGAAGTCACGTGGGTCTCCACGAGCCTCAGTGTATTAAAATCCTGGTGGCAGGAGGTACCCTCCCGCTGTCCTCCATGGGCCTCATCCCTGCCTGGCTGGCCACAGGGCAGATGTTAGGGTGGAGGAGACGTATGGATCGTTATTTGTCTTAGTAGTTTTGGAAATTATGATTTAAGGCAAGAGAGCTGTGTATTGGACCACAGTTAATTGCACCATGTTTACTTTCACCTAGAAAAGTATATTGACTGATTTTGAACAAAACATTAATAGTAAAAACATTGGAGAATATTACACAGCACTTACTCTGTGACAGACGCTGTTCTTAGTGCTTTATCTATGTTAACTTATTTAATTCTCATTTTGCAGATGAGAAAACTGAGGCACAGAGTGGTTAAGTAATTGGTTCAAGGTTGCACAGCAAGAAAGTGCTGGAGTAAGGTTTCAAACCCAGGCATCTAGCTTTTTACCTCTGTATGTTACATATAGTCAAACATGCTGCAAAATGAAGGCTCATGGCTGGGTTGCAATAAGGTTAATTTCAGATGACATTATATAACGCATAACTCTTAGTGAAAGTACCGTGCAGAGGGAGACTTTTAAATCAATAACCGGAAGGAGTGCTGTGGTTAAGAAATGCTTTAATAAAAATGTGCCACTTGCATTGTTTTATATATTGAAGCACTGGTATGGACATAAGTTTCACATTAAAAAGAACTTAGGTTGGCAACTAGTTGATATTTAATGTTAAATTACATCAAAATGGAGCCAGATAGCTTTCCTCGCACTGAGCCCTGCTGCAGATAGTGAGGAGGGGGTGTTGATGTGCAGTGGGATCTCCATGAGGCCCTGTGCAGGTGTGTCCCTCAGGTGCAGCCTCACCTGACCAGGTGGACAGACAACGAAGCACTACTGCATCCATTCATTCAAGAGGGGGTGACTTTTGTCTCTGTCACTCAGCGAGGGGAAGATACTGATATTTGTTTTCTCATCACACTGTTCAACCAAGTGGCCAGCACGATGCCCAGCACTCACGCTCATTAAGGGAACAGGCTGCCCATTCTCCTCCTGAATGCAAATTTGCATGGGGAGCCAAACTGTAAATATGTCGAGAGCATGAAATTGGCCCGGCTGGCATCATCAGACTGCTACAGGCTGGTAAGAACTCTACTCTATTTCTTTAACAAATTGTCTATTTAAAAAAAAACAAAACACACCAATCGATCTGGAGTTAATGTTAGTGTATTGCTCATTATTTGGTTTCAATTCACCTTTTTCAGAGTTTTTAATCAAGTTATCATAATTCTTTCCATTTGATATTTTTCTCTTCTGTAATTTTGAAAAATTGCTTACATTATGGAAATAGTTGGGTGTATTTCTGAGCTCTTTAGAGTGTTCCATTTTCTGTATTCATTTTTATACTTTTTTCTTTTGCTGTGGTTAATGTTACTCTGTAGTGTATTCTAATATCTGATTAGTTCATATTGATTTTCTCTATCGATTTTGTTTTGTAATACATTACTCTCAGTCTGTTTGCTTTGACAAAATAATTTTAGAATTATTTTGTGATGCTATTTTATGTTTATTTTATTGAATTTATTAGGGTGACATTGGTTAATAAGATCATATAGATTTCTTGTTATGCTATTTTAAAAAGCTCGTTGAATATTGGTATTAAAATTTGTAAACAAAATGTCCAACTCATGTTATTTTCAGCATGTTGAAAATAAAGTGACTAACTTGACCCCTTGCATGGGCAATAGAATGATGGTATTTGGAAAATAGAATGTGACTCTCAAGGAAAGCAATGTTGGCAAGCGAGTAGCACATATAAATTAAGATATATATCTACATGCTAAGTAAGCTGGACAATTCAACCATAGTACAAGGTTTTCCTTCCCCCGGTTTTAATTGAAAAGCGCAGAATCAGAACAGAAGATAGAATGATGATTGTTAGTGCTACAGTGATATCTTGATCTCATTTCATCAGTTTTTGTTTGTATACCACAAAACAGTCTCTGGAATAACACAGTATCATCAGTTTATTAAGTTCTTTAGATTTCACATATACGCGAGATCATGTGATGTTTGTCTTTCTCTGCCCGGCTTATTTCACTTAGCATAATTTTCTCCAGGTCCCTCCATACGGTCCCAAAGGGTACGAGATCCTTCTTCTTTACAGCTGCGTAGTATTCCATGGTGTAAATGTCCCATGGCTTTTTTATCCACTCATCTACTGGTGGGCACTTGGGCTGTTTCCAGATCTTAGTGGTGGGGGGAGGGACTGAAAAGGGGGATGGGACAGGGTGGAATGGGTCATTGGGGAGAAAAAGGAACATCTGTAATATTTTAAACAAAAATAAAAGAAATTTTAAAAAAAAGAGCACAGCATCAGCTAGTGTTTAAAAATGTGGATTCAATGATCAGGCTGCCTGGGTCTAAATCAGCTTCTCTATTTGCTAGACTTCGGTTTACTCCAAATAGATGATAATAGTAATTAGTGTGTGTATTATGTATATATGACTTTATATATATACATATATATATTCCCCAAAAATGCATACACACACTTTGAATAATTATAAAGGCAGTGTTTATTAAAATACATTTCAGTTTCAAAATCGAGCTATCAGCTGTTAGAGTGTATATACATTTTTAGGGAACACCCTGTATATGACTTCAACAGTACCTGGCCAATGATGTTACTTATGTTAAGGATGTTTTGAGCTAGAAAGGCACTTTTTAGTTTGGAAGAGGCCCATTTACCTACATTTCTTTTTCCCCCAAATCTGAAAGTCTACCCTGTACAGGTTTGCGCGGGCAGTGTGACCCAGTAAGGCTGCACTCTCATACTTGGCCCTCACCGTTAACAAGGAAATGCTTCTGAGCTTTTGTACCTGACTTATTTATTGTTGCATTCTGGCAGCCATCCCCTGGCCTCCTGGCAAAAATAGCTGGGTTTCATTAAAATTCAATCTCTCTTGATAGCATCTCTGCTGGATATTAGAGGGAACTGCTACCAATGGAGCTGCAGCGACCTGATTCAGAAGAGATTTGGGCTGGAATTTTCGAAGTGCTCTAAAATTACCGTTTATAAAGTTTCTCTCCATGTCTACCCACTTCCCTGTGCCCTCAGCTCCCTGCCCTCCTTACGCCATCCCCCCAACACGAGACCTCAGCCAAGCCTCCCGTGTGGCTTTTTCGAGTTGGACACTGAGATGAATCTTGCTTCATATTTCAGGTGCGAGCTTTCTCCTGTTGTCCCGAGTCCCCGCTCCCGGGTGCCCTGTATGAGTGACACCTCGGCCTGCCATGGAACCTGGCCCTGCCCTGGCCTGGCTCCTGCTCCTGAGCCTGTTGGCTGATTGTCTGAAAGCTGCACAGTCCCGAGACTTCACAGTGAAAGACATTATCTACCTCCACCCTTCAAGTAAGATTCTGTTCTCTTTGCTGCAGAAATGTCACTTTACTTCAAATAAGACATGAGTTGAAAATGGCCAGGAGAAGGCAACCTTCAATGCAGGGGAAACCTCTGCTGATTTAATCAGGGGGTGCGAGTGCTACCAAAGATGCCATGTGTTTCACCCTCACTTTTTATAGTGTGTTTGGTTTTTATTTTAAGGCAGATTATTAGGCTTATTTTCTCTGTCCCCTGCCCCATTGCCCTGATCTGAACACCCTTCCCTTTGAGTCATGCCAGCCTCAGTTGATTATCAGAGTGAACCGCCAAGTCCCAGAAGGAATGTTTGTAGATCAGCCCTTTGTAGGGAAGATAATAGCTGGTCTTCCTGTCTGTGCATCTCATTCTCACTCGCAACTAATTATCTTCCACAACTTCCTGTTCCCTGCCCCTTTGGGTTTCCTGTGTTTAGGAGTTATCTAGAGAGCACATAATCATGCAGATGCACAAGCCTTCCCTTGAGTGTCTGAAAGCCTATCTGGCTGCGGCTGTACCTCTGGTGCCTGGCTTTTAGCAAGAGTTTCAGGTGCCTCTGCTGCTGGTATTCTAAGGATCACGCTTGGATCACTTGGTACTTTTACTTTCTCTTTTAGTCTCCATCTCTGTGTTTATCTCCTCTCTTAGTTTTGTCTGGATTGTCCCTTTGGTGGTGAGAGCTGGGTATATTGTGTCTATTTTGACCTTTATCATTTGCCCCAGGGTGCATTTCTCTTTTGAAATAGCCTGTTCCACCTACATTTTTGTGTCTCCTATGTGTCGGCGTTGTGATAGGCAAGAAAGACATAAAGGCAAGTAAAACATGGTCTCTACTTTTGAGGATCTTCAAATCTACAAAGAGGAGGCAGCTCCCCAGGCTCCTTTAATGTCACGCGGTTAGACTGTTCAACTTCTGCATGGTCTGGTCTAGAGGAGAGGTGGGTGGAGGAATTCACAGGGACTGTCTGTCCAGTCAGCCCGCCCATGGGTCAGCAACTAGTTCAGCTGCTTGTAGCCTTCTGGCTTGAAATGAGAGCCTTAACTCTGTGAACATTAACTCAAAGAATGCAAAGTATTAGCACTGAATATGAGACATAGTAAATGCTCAATAAATGTTAGGGGAATATTTTTAAATGTTAATTCCCACATTTCTAAAGTAGATAAAATAACACATACCCTGTCACATTGTTTTGTGAACTAGAAATAATAACTGTAAAATGCTGGGCATATACGTAACAGGCAATCGGAGACCTGTTGCTTACGAGGTTGTTATAATTGGCTTAGAGGGTAAACTGAGGATGCTAAAAATACATTACTCTAATTTTTAAATTCCAAACATGCTTTTGAGAAGCAGCAAAGAGTTTCTTTAGATTTACTGCTACTGCACTCTGTCACCAGTATGGTCCAGTGCCTACTCATGAATTATATGGGAAGCATACCTGGCTGCCGGTTTTCGCAGGGCTGTTTATTTTAATAAAATTCATGAAGAGAAGGTGTTTTGATACTTGCTCTGTTTTCTTGGGTTGCATTTTGTTCTTTTCTCCAAACAGCCATGCTTTTTTATCGGACTTGGTGAACAAAAACCTAGATTTCAGGCTCTTAGGTTTGATTGCCAGGATTTTCAGCCTCTGGGGGGCTCTCTGTCCACTTCAGTGACAGGCTCACAAGTCACCAGGCCACAAAACAGGTCCATGCTTGGCTTTCTCTGAGGCTTTGATTGTATATAGGGTGGGAAGGAAAATCGAGGGGACTGGATTTAGGTGAACATAAGCAAAACAAACACACACACACACACATCGCTTCTGCCTGGGCGGTATGGCAGGTCCTGCAGGGTTGAGTGGGTCCCGATTTGGAAGTCGATTTCAGAATGGGAGCTTTGAAGGATGAGTTCTGCTCATGCGACCTACATTAATCAAACAGAGCCATAGCTTAATCAAAAGGAACTCACCATATAGAAAGAATTGGTGGGTTTTTCTGATATGATTTTGAAATATGCAGGAGGATAGAAGAAGCCGTTCCTAAGCTGGATTGTACATAGATAATTCACCAGCAGGTCTGGGCTCAGTTCTGTTTTGGACTCTCCGCAACTGGTCGTGGGGAGTAAAGTCCTTGCTGGATTGAAGCTACCGCCCATGGGTCCTACTGGGCTAGAATTTTGCTTACTCCTGCCCACTTTAGAGCAGAGTTAACTTCCCATTTCTGTGCACTAGTTCAGAAGTGTTTGGTGTTTTGCTTGTTTTTATACTTTGATTCCTTAAATGGTCGCTGTTCTCTGCCCACTAGACCATGTTTAGATGGAGCGATCTCCACAAATCAGCAGGTTTCTGTAGAATATAGTCTATAAAATATATATGAGGGAAGTGTGGGATGATTTTTATCTTGAATTATTAATATAATTGCCTCACTATGTAGATGGAGGCACAAACAGCTTTCTTGGGGTCAGGGAGCGAGCCAGATCCCATCACCGTGACAAGGAGAAATGCGATATGCTGGAGATGTGGGAAGACACACACGTTTCCTACACCAGACAACCAGGAACTCCTTTCTGCTGGGCCCTAAACAGCCTTCAGAGATAATAAGTGGCGTGAGACTGGAACTCGGGTTGGGAAAGCTCAGCCTCTGTGACTAATCTCCTTTGCTCTCTGATTCCCTAATCTTTGAAGTTTCTAAGCCCTTCAGAGAAATAAACTTTATGGCTTTCAAACTTGAGGTACTGTCCTCAGTAACATTCTTTTCCATAATCTGTATGTTTCTTTTTTTCTTTTTCATGTGAAAAATGATGAATTTCTTCCCAGCCCATGATTAAAGTACCAAAGCCTAATAGCTCCTTTAAAACAGGAGTTAGTATTAAGAGAAATGGAGCTTCTCATTTGGTCATTAGCAATGATATGTGATAGCAGAATATAACACCCAGCATGACTTCAACCTGTTCTTGGCCTCCGTCTCTTTCCTTTGTAATAGAAATCTTTCCTGAGATACTCACTTTTCCACTGGTTGCATGTGTTCTGAGCCTTTCTGTGGGCCAAAGCACTATATCCCTGCAGGGGGCTTTCTTATGCCTACATAGAGAGCCAACTAATTTTTTCATAATTCTATACTGCATAAATCTTACGGAGTATGGGGACTTCCTAGAAAGATAGCAGGAAATGCATTTCTATTAGAAATACGGTCATGGTATTAAAATTATACTGACAGTGTTTTGTAGGCAAGTAATCTGAGAGGTAGATCGATTTATTAGATTTCTAAAAAGTTTGTATTTGCTTCCAGTTTCCAAAAACAATGGAAATTAATTTGGCAAGAATAAAAAAAAAGTTCAGCTGCATTACAGAGAAGCATGTATTTTAAAACAAGATTCTCTTCTCACCATGGTTTTGATAACTGAAGGCCTTTGTCCAGGCAAAAGTTCCAAGAGATGGAAACAAAGACGAAATCTTTTCCGATGCCTTGCAAATGAATTATGGTCGGTTGAACTATGGCTGACCATGCGAGTCAATGGACAGATTATGTTACAGGAAGTAACTGGGCACTTTGGCGTTTCTTTTTTTTCTTTACAATCACCTTCTCTTGAGGGACCAAGGACTTATGCCCTGAACTGCAGAGTACTAAGCTTATTAACTCTGTGATCAAAAGCCAAATTAGATTCATTCACAGCTGGGGCCACAAGTTTGAAACTCTACTTGCTCTGTAATGCTTTGAAGTAACAAAGAAAAATAGAGCATCTCTTAGGAATCTCTTTCCAGTCTTTTTTTAAAAACACTTATCAGATACAGTATCAATTAGCAAGTTACTGGAGATAGTTGTTCAACTGTGGACCTTATTTTTGGCTAAATATTTCCAGAGGGAAGAATTTAACCATTACTTGGTATTGTGCTGTAATTATCAACTTAAAGCTGAGTCTGTCTCCAGAGACCTGTCACCGAAAACAGTCTGGTCATTCACTGATCAGTACTATCTGCCAAGATGTAAGTTCAAGTTCCTATAAGCAGATATTAGCATGTCATTGCTGGGAATGCACAGATATGAAGTTGTAGGTTTAAAAACAAAACTCACTGCAAATGAGACCGTTTGGTTAATTGTCAGTGATACATGCAGATAAACACTTTCAGAGATAAAATGATTTGAAACAAAGCTGCATTCATTATGCTACCTTAGTGTTCTAGCTCTCAGTCCTGTTTAAATTTTGATATACTTTGAGTTAATTTCAGAGTTCAGTCCTACTTGTATAAGAAATGACAGTATTTAATTTAATATGTCACTAGTCTTGCAAAAGATAATTTTGAAGAGTCTATTAAATAATCCAAGTTTGAGAACACTACGACTTATTAGTGCTAGGTTCTCAAAAAAAGTTTATTCATGGAATGGCTGGATTGTCAATCTTCATTCAGAGTTCTTAATTTATCTCTTTGATGGGAAAGCTTCCAGGAATAATTAACCCAACATTTCAACTAAAAGTTCTACTGGCTAAGGTGATAGACAGATAAAATTGGATACTCTAGGGAATTAATCATGGAAGCTGAAGTGCTATGGCTCCTGGCAGTCATGAACCTTGCTATACATGATCATTTTTTGAGAAATACTGTTCTTTGACAGAGTTTACATCTGTTTTTCAAAACTCCTACTCTGATCATTCTACTTCAAGATTTACAAATTATTTTAAAGTTCTGTCCTTTAAACATATTTATATATTCAAAATTTTGAAGTTGCTAGTGAAACTAATATTTTTTTAATATATCAGGATGATTCCTAAACTATTTTGTATGGTTTTTCTTGTAATAGTATTTATAAAAATAAGCGAATTAAAATGTCTATAAGAATATTTGAATGGCTTTGGAATATGAGAACCTATTTGCTTTAATTCTTTAGACAGGCACTTACCTAAACCAGACTCAACTTAAATGGAACCCACCTATCTAAGTAGTGGGATGTAGAGATATAAACATTATTTGTGTGTAGTTTTACAAAATAGTTTACTTCTGTTTTATTACAACTGTACCTAGGGAAAAGATGTTTCCTCTTAGTGAAATTTCCTCTTTGGGAATGAAGTGGTTGGATGGTTATGTCTAAGTTGCTTCCCATCAAACTTTTCTAAGATGACCCATGCACACACTATGATTCTGTTGATGAATTTGGGCCATCGATTACTTGGAGGAACATGGAACTCTCACCTGGGCCCGTACAAAGGTCCAGTTATCTGCCTTTTTTGAAGGACAGTTTATTACTTTTGATCTTGCTATTTTCAGCGTCAGCTCTGTGAACTATTGCAAGCAGGTGCAAGGATGGGCAGCTCTTCCAGGCAAGGTGAAAATCAAAGTTATATCTGGCCCATAATTCTGGCCTTAAGCTGCTGCCTCCTCCTTCATTTATTTTTGATAACATACTTAATTGGTTCCATGTGGGTAAAGCAATTTACCCTGAGATGATTATTTCCGCCAGTGGGATATGCAGGCTCAGCCATCTGTGAGAGAGAACAGTTGGCTTCTGCAGATGAAGTGGTTGAGTGTTTGCAGCTTTCAAAGAGGCCAGGTAATTTTACAAATTAAACACACACACATTCACAAGTTCTGTTGATGGAAGGCAAAACTCTAAGTGGCAAAGCAAGCACATGATTAGAACTAAGCAGCGAGGAAAAGCACATCAGCAGATCGGACAGAGATAACCTGGCCTGATATTCCTTGTGCGTCTTTGTCCTTAAATGCTAGCGAGGCCCCAGGGAGCTGGCATTCGATGGAGCATGGCTCCCATGGGACAGCGCCCTGCCTGAGCATAAATGCCAGGCAGAGAATACCAGGACCTGGAGGACAGTCTCTCCAGAGGGCAGGGAGAGGCAGCCCAGGGGTGAGGAGAAGAGGCGATGGAGAGGAGGGGCTTCGGGAATTGCATGTCCCTCAGGCTGGAGCTAGGAGCCTAGAGTGCATCCGTGTCCCCAGGGGCCCCCAGGGTGCTGCCCCCTGAGCACTGGACATGGGCCTGAGAGGCCCCTCAGGGGGGTCAGCTCTGCATAGGCAGGGTGTATTTTAGCAATGGAGACACTTTTCTTACCATCCCCAGGGATTCTTAACCGGTCCCAGCAGATAAAAATATTAGATGGAACTAAATAAATTGCCGTCATAGGTACAAAATGGTCAAACATCAGGACATTTTTTATGATTGAACCCAATGTTTATACTTACATGTGAATGTTGACCGGTCTACGTACAATGACACATAAAAGTAAATCATTGGAAATCCAGAGTGCCTTTATCTAATTAAAATTTTATTGCGACAATTTTAGATTCACAAACAGTTGTAAGAAGTAACAGAAAGAGTCCATGTATACTTCACCCAGTTTCCCCCAATGGCAACATTATGAAAAGCTGCAGAATAACATCACAATCAGGTTATTGCCATTGATACATCAACCCACCGCTCTTATTTAGACTTCCCCAGTTTTATTTGTATTCATTTGTGTGTGTGTGTGTGTGTGTGCATTTGTGTACATAATTTTATCACATGTGTAGGTTTGTGCATTTACAGCCAAGTCAAGACACTAAGTAGTTTTTTGTTTTTTTTTTAAACCGCACCTGAGGATATTTTTTCCATTGCTTTTCAGACACAGTAGAAGGGAGAGAGAGAGAGAGGGAAAAAGAGAGAAATACATCGATATGAGAGAGACACATTGATTGCCTCCTGCACGTGCCCAGACCGGGGTTGGGGATCGAGCCTGCAACCGAGGTACATGTCTTTGGCTGGAACTGAACCTCGGACCCTTCAGCCCTCTGGCCAACTCTCTAACCACTGAGCCAAACTGGCTAAGGCAGGACACTAAATAGTTTCAATAGCACAATGATTCCTCTTGTTGGCCTCACACCAACCTCCCTCTAAACCTGTTTCCTACCATTCCTGTCCCTATCGTGGCAACCACTAACCTTTCCTCCATTTCTAAAATTTTCTCATTTAAAAAATGTTACGTATAGTACATGTTATATTTAATATATAAGCTTTTGGGGTTCACTTTTTTCACTCAGCATAATTCCCTGGAAATTCATCCAAGCTGTTGAATGTATTAATAGTTCACTTTTATTGCTGACTTGTATTCCACGGTATGGATGTACCACAATCTGTTTAACCTTCACCCATTAAAGGACATCTGGGTTGATTCCAGTTTTTATTACAAATAAAGTTGCTGTGAATATCTGTGTACAAATTTTTGTGTGAATATAAGTTTCCATTTCTCAGAGATAAATGTCCAAGAGTGCAGTTGCTGAGTGATATGGAACTTGCATGTTGACTTTTTAAATAAACTACGAAGTTGTTTTGAGATGGAAAAAAATAAAATAAAATAAAATAATAAGAAAAATAAAATATAAATTTTTTAAAAAAGTGAAAATGTCTAACTTCACAATGCAGGATTCTGTGCTCAGTCTAAAAAACTACCCTTTTCTCTTGATCCTTCTTGTAGCCACACCATATCCTGGTGGATTTAAGTGTTTCACCTGTGAAAAGGCAGCCGACAATTATGAGTGCAACCGATGGGCTCCGGACATCTACTGTCCTCGAGGTAAACTCTCAGCAGACACATTGGGTTCCCCAGAGCTGTCCAGGAGTGAGCAGGCCTATTTGCCTTGATGCATGTAGAGAAAGAGGCATGCTCATAATGTCAATTGCTTCTCTCGTCTAAGGCTATTAGTAGATTGCTTATACCACACCCATAACTTATTATCAGAGACTTTGAGTCATAAACTGATCTGTAGGATTGCCCCCTTTCTCATGAAGTGTCCTTGGAGCTCCAGAAAAGGTGAGTGATACTCACCCCCAGGCCCAGGCACATGTAGGACATAAAGAGAACAACCAGCCTATAATCCACTCTTTGAAGCATTAGTCATTGCTTTGTAACTTCCTTTATGCAAAGTATGAGTCGATGTTCATATAAAGATTCCATTCATTGCGTATCTTGCCAGAGGCTTCTATCCTGAGACTGCATGAAAGCCAGAATTCTAAATGTCATCATTGCATAAATAAAAACCCTGAGCTCTTTAAACTGTTCAGTTCTCTTTGAAGGATGAGATGGATGCCCAATGGAAGCATGAAATTTTGACCCAAAGGCCCATTTCAAAATGAAGTAGATGCTTCATAATCATATTTCTGTTATACTATTGAATTTAAAAGGTGGTTATATTTGGCTACAGAGTCACTGTTAATTGGCTAGCTTATTTTTGGAAGGAAGTCCATTCATTTGATGGGGGAAGGGGAAGAACAGGGCATTTTACGGACCATTGTTTAAGCTAGAAGTTCAATGGGCTTCACTGCTAGTCTAATTCAGTTGTTAAAATGACTGAACACACCAACACCAAATCTACTATTTTTTAACATAGTGCAAGAGTTCTCCTACTCACCCCAGGAAAAGGCACTCTATTTCTCATGGAAGGTTGGACACTGAGAGAGCCTGGAAGCTCCAGTTAAGAGACAGAGTGCCAGCTACCTAAACCAGTACTGTTTAACCCATGAGTTCACACCTAGGCCATCCAGCAGGAACTCCTGTGAGTATTTTCAAAATCACTGGAACCTGTGCCCTGCTTACACCAGTGGTTCTCACACTTCAGCATGATCATCATTCCCTGGAGGGCTTATTAAAACACTGGCCAGGTAGCTCCATTGGTTAGAGGGTCGTCTTGATACGAAAATGCTTTCGGTTTTGATCCCAGGCCAGATCACATACAAGAATCAACCAATGAATGCACACACACACAAAAATCAATGTTTTTCTCTCTTTCTCTCATTCTCTCCCTCTCTCTTCCCCTAAAATCAATCAATAAATAAACATTTTAAAGGCATTAAAAATAAAATAAAACACAAATTTCTGACCCTGCCTCTGCCCTCCCTTCTTCCAAGTTTCTGATTCAGGAAGTCTGAGATGGGACCTGAGAATATGCATTTCTAAAGAGTGTACAGGTGATGCAGAAGCCACTGGGCTCGAGACCACATGTTAAGAACCACAGCTCTACACAAACTAAGCCAGCATCTCTGCACAGTGTATTTAAATATCCCGAATAATTCTAATGGACAGTCAGGGGCAAGAACCACTGGGAGCTCCTCTCCCCACTAATAAAAAGTGTAATGTAGTGTTGTCATCTCTAGGTGCCTCTTGTTTACTTTGAGCTAGAGATGCTAATGGGAAAGACCACAGGGAAGAGGAAAACATGGAGACACTAAAGACTGGCTTAATCACAAGCCAGCTGTCCAGCCATCCGGGCGATCGCAGATGAGTCCTGCCCGAGCTGCCTTCTGTAGTCACTTGCTCGGTTGAGAATGAGCCAGTGTTTTCTAACATCCCACTGCAGAATGAACGCTTGGGTAGGCTACTGATGGACCTGGTGAAGCCACCGATTCTCAAACTTGGCAACACATTCCAATCACTGCATAAAATTTAAAAACACTGATGCCTGGGTCATTCCCGGAGATGCATGTTTAAGTGGTATGTACTGTGGCTGAGCATAAGGAGTTTTAAAAGCTCCCTGTGGTTCTCATATGTAGTAATGTTTGAGAACCACCGGTGACTCTGGACTCAAACAGGATGATTTGCTTGTGTAGCCAGTAACTTGGGCTGGTTCCTGTTGGGACAAACCTGGCAGATTAGCTTTTGCCACGGTTGCCAGTGCTCAGAGCTGCTGTGGAGTAAATGGGACAGTAATTCTCTCAGCGTGGACTTAGAAGAGATGATGAAAAGAAAAGGAGGGACTGTGGACTGTGGCTTGCTCAGGCCTTGGGCTCTATTTCAGAGAGACCCAGTCCAAGTCTGATGACAAAGAGGTATATACCTGTCACAAAATGAAAAACGTGACTGGTGGCACTCTGCTTGAGTTCCTCACAGGAAAAGAGGAAGGTCCCTCTTTATATTTTCTTTTGAGGTCAAAATCTATCCTTCCAAAGCACAGATATCCAAAAGTATCATTGGCACAATTTCTCCTTCCCCCTTTTTCCTCTCCTACTTTTATCTTTTTGTCCTTAAATTAATAGGGATAAGTGGAAAGTGCCCCCCCGAGGTTCATGACACAGAACACAGGCCCTTGGGGGATTAAGCACCGAGAGATAGGAATCGGTTTCTTCTTTCAAGGAGCAGGCAGGTCAGCCGGGGAGATAAGATCTGAACATCTTAAATGTCAAAAATAGCGGGACAAAGGCAAGTGCCAAATGAAACATGGCATTAAATGCTGTGGGAGTTTAAGGGGAGATTTGCTCTTTGGGGGCTGAGGTGGCCAATGATAGCATCGTGGGCCAGGAGGACGGCAGCGGCCCTACAAGGGCGCAATGCAGGTAGAGGTGCAAGGGGACGGGTGTGCCGGGAAGTCGCTCAGAGCAAAGGCCTGGGGACAGGGTGCCCCACGGGTGCTCAGTGGACTGGGAGAGACCTCAGCTGGGCGTCGCAACTAGTTCGTATCAGCGAATAGTAGGAACCAAGAGGGGAGCCAGGTTATTTTTGTGGGACCTTGGGCATCAGGTAAGGAGTGGAGACTAAAATCACAGTTAGCTTCTTTCTTTTCCTCTGGGTTTTCTCCAGATTTTTCTAACAATGAAAATGGCATCACTATTATCAGATTAAAATATAAAATGTGTCTAACTACCAGACACTACTGACTAGCCCTGGATTTGTTCTTTCTGTTTATTATGAGCCGAAGCAGCTATAGGACTACCAACAGGCTTAATAAGGGCAGCTCAGTAGCTGCTATGAGAAAAACCCTGCTTTCTACAACATTCCTGGGTTTTTGTTTGCTTATTTGATGGCATGTTTAACTAGGTTTTTAATTGTTACATGATGTGAAAATAACTTGTTGAAAGTGAGAAAAAATTTTATGCTAGTATTTAATCTTATCTCTATGGGATAAGCTCACATCCCAAATTGCTTCGGGGAATGCCTGGATTTCAAGAAGGTTCAAAAGCTAAACTCAGTCATGTGGATGCGCAGAGAGACAGACTATGTTTTAGCAGCTGAGGTAAAGCATGCCTGCAGATTCAGCAGGCTGGTTGGGAAGCATCATTTGGTCAAATAAACATCAAGCAAGGCTTGCCCTAACTGGAATCACTGTGACAGGCAGTGGTGGCATCAGCCAGCCCCCTCTAGCTAACTCAGGTTCCCTGTCACTCCTAACTCCAGAAATGTGTGTTATATAAGCACTTCTTCCTCCATCACTTTGTTATTGCCTCTGGCACTTACAGATTCCTGGTACCGTGCACGCTCCCTAGACATGAGAATTTAAGACGCCCTTCATAACCCATCACATTGCCTCACTTGCTAGACTTCTACTTAGTCGTTGGTCCCTGAGCACTTCCTTTGCAATAAACTCAATTTCATCAACTGCTCATTATAAATCTGTGCAATTTCCTTGACTTTGTGAACCAGAATGGGAAAGCATCTTGAAATCATATCCTATGAGAGACCGGTTGAAAGAGCTGGTAAAGAAAAATAGGAGTTGAATGTCATCAGATCCATGTGTTCTCTTGCCTGTGACTTTTTTTCTGTGTTGCAAGATTAAAAGCTCCTTGAGAGAAAGGGACCGTATAAGTGTTTGAGTCTCTCGAATTAAATGTCAAGTAAAAAACATCACAATTTTTAAAAAAGGCCTGGTCTGTGGAGGCTACGTAAGGCGAGAGGGTTTAATGTTCCTTTTTAATTATGAAGTGCAGATGTCTCCCTGTAAGGCAAATTCTTTATTTGGAATTATTGCTGATATAAAATCAGACCAAGAGAAATCTTGAGATGGAGGGACATGTACCCTTTTGGTTCCAGCTTCTATGCTGATCACTGTTTCTCTGTGAAAGTGAAGACAAACCTGGGGATGTCCCTTAATAACTCTTTCTATATCCATTATCTGGAATAAGCAGGAAATATAAATATGATCCCCAGCTCCACTGAAGACAGGCCCATGGTTACAAGTTTGTAGGAAAGATTCTTATTGTTGACTTTTTTCAGACAGAGTCCAGGCTGAAACAACCAACCTTTTTGTTTAACTTTACCCAAGGGTGGATTTTTGTCTCTCTTACACTCAGAATATAGTCCTTCAAGGTTTCTACCATTCTACAGGGTCTCTGTTCCAGCTCTAAACCCCAGGGGGACCCCAAGCCTTGCATCTTTTATAGCTTATCTATTAACACCCCCAACTCTTCCCAGGGTAGAGAAATCAGTGTTGATCTCTGGGATTTCCCTTACTTTCTGGAGAGTTCATTTGTACCTTTACAGATGCTATTGGTTATATGTTATTCAGCACTGGTGCTACTATGTAATGATGCTATTCAGATGATCTATCTTGTCACATCGCTAAATGGAAGTCTTAGACTTCCTCCTTTTTATAAAGCTTAAAATTCTTTTTATTAAAGTTTAACATACATACCAGAAAGTGAATAGATCACATGTGAAGAGCTCATTGAATTTTCACATAATGAACATGCTATGTGTTTGATGTCATGCTAAGCAGTTGAACCCCAGAAGGCCACTGGAGTCCCCCTGGTCATTAAACCCCACCTCCCAAAGGTAACACAATTGTGATTACTACCACTGAGCTTTGT